ACACGTATGCGCAATGTCTTTTGATAATGGAATTACCGAGTCAAATAAATTGCTTGCTTTTCGTAACTGAATAGTTCAAACCATAAAGGATCCCCGTTAATTTCATCGATTTTAACTCTTTGCATTCGAGAGGCACCTCTCATTCGCCATTTAATCAGATTCTAAAGATGGATGTTAATTAATATATCAAATTTACAATTACCCAACGATGCGTGGAATATCGAAGTAAAATAATTCTACGTTTTAATTTGCATACGATTTCTTATTTACCATTTTAGAAATATCGTCGACTTTATGACAGAAAGTCTTCGAATTATCATTTTCTCGTAACGAGAAAGGGTTACCCTTTGCATTCTGTTGTAAAGTAGCCTATATTTTTGTGATATCTAAGAGCAATTTCGTTTAAAAATGAAAATATTCTTCATTTTCCCATGGTGCCTTAACTTACATTGTATATATAATTGTGTGTTAAAATTATTATAATATTTTATATTTGATTTAAAAATAGAGGAAAGTGGCTCTGAAAAGTGCAAAGGGTTAACAAATTTTTCAATTTGTCTTTATAGAACTGGCAAATTTCTTTTATAATTCAGGAACTATATCGTTTCTAATAATACCGATTCCACAATGGCGTCAGACGTTCCTCCAACTATGAACGTTATTATCTAAAACCTGGAAAGATCGACGAGACTCGTTTCGATAAAAACCCCCGATTGTTAACTACATGTCGAAAGCACGTATAAAATTACCGTTGTTTCCTATCGATATGTAAACACGATTTTATAATATGCACCATTTTCCTTTTATTGTGTCATCTTGTACTATAGTAGCTACACTTATAGTGTCAAGATCAACTGTGTTACCTCGACATTTTCATAAATTGAGAATTATCATCTATAATCCTTACATTACGCTAACAAGCCGTAAAGTAGAACTTGTAACTCTGAGATCTCACTTGATCGCCAGACAACTCGTCTAACCAGCGCCATTTTCCTGTCCACCATGCTCCCTTCCGTTTATATTTAAATGAAGGGCTGCGTTCGGTGGCCCTTAATTGTCGATCGTTGCACGCGTCGTTGGACGATCTTGCGGTATCATTATCATATTTACTCAAAAACCGTCGAACAACCTTCCCCCCTTGTACGCGTTCTGTCGCGAGGCAGGGATGGCGCAGGATCGAAGAAGATCGGGCGAACGGGCGCAGAGGAGGCGGGTGCTGCTTAAAAATCAATTGCACAGGGAACGACACGAACGACCCACGGTTTTTTCTCTTTTTCCATGCTCCTTTACGGCGTCGTGTCAGAACTGGTCCTCTTTGATCCACTTCGTTAGCGTTGTACGATGATTGGCGTCCAATTTTAATAACCGTCCGGGTATTTTCCGAGGCCTGCCGGTCGTGTGTTCGCGTTGATTCTTTTAAGGCAGACGTTGCCCCGTTCCCCGAACAGCAACGCAATTTCTTTCTCTGCCGATGCGAGAACGTGGAATTTCGCAGCCAGGGTACGGAAGATCGGCGGTGTGGGCATACACTTTGAGTTTTCGTTCCGGTGGCTTGAGAATGTAATCGTAGCAAGAGGTCGCGAAGCAGATGAACACGAGATAATCGCTGTTTAGGGAAATTTATTGTTATTTATTCTTGGCATACGATATTAGATAATAACATTTTTATACTTTAAATTAAGGAATCTTATTTTGTAATATTAGACCAGATCTCGGACTCGAAGTCACGAGGATCGCGCACGTAGTCGTGGTTTATTTTAATTTACAATATATCCCCCATTATCTCGGGCAGCCCGCGCGGCCGAGATTTGATGGAACGAATGAAAATCTGACGGACTAAATTAACGCGATCTCGTGGTCTCTCCGATGTAAAATAAATACGGTGGAAATCGTCCCTAAATTTCACCTCGTTAATTCCCACATCGTCGGATTCTTGTACACCTTTTTAAAAGTCTCTTCAAAGCCGCGTAATTAGATGTAAATTACACATTTGCCAATGCCTCGAGGTATATACGTTTAAGAGGCTGATTCCTCGCGAACGAAGAACAGTGGCTTGCATAACGAGGCTCGCGAAAATATAGCCCAGTGTTCGATATTAATCGAACGCGACAGGGGCACGGGAGGGTAACCAGAGAAGGGTACGTCGTGGCGACTCTGGGTGAAGACGGTACAGCGAGGAAAAGAAATAATTGCAGCTAGAATTAGTTTCTATCTCGGACTAATTATTAGTCGCGTTTTATACAGGCGTTTTACGAGTGCTCGTTGTTTTGTCGGCGTAAATCGATTCGACAGAACGCACGACGCGTTAACGTTCCCTGCATACGAATTGCTGGCGTGTAATAAACCCAGCGGCCGGGCTTGAATACTAATTAGCCTGGTGTCAGGGTAATTATTGCAGTGTCAAATTTCTTTTACGCTCGGCTCTTTCCTTTGCTCACTTTTCACCCTCCAACCATCAAAGTCGCCAATGTGTCCGGCGTAATATTTCAATCGACCAATCAACGGAATCCGTGTCCCTTAATATTAACAATCGACGAACCACCATTGCACTTGCATCGTTCGATGTTGGTATCGATATTAGCATCGGTATTAGCTATCAGTTTATCGAGACACGTGCGTGAGAGAGTTTCCGAGCAGCGCAGAGAGCTTTAGGGCGCGTTTCTAGGATAAAATTACCGACGTAAATCACGTCGAGAGGTCCTCCGGCTAATTACTCGTGCTACTCGTGTCAGATATCCGTGCAGACGGAGAAATACGCCCGATATTTCCCCGTGATTTTTCAGGATATCCATGTTCCAAGGCGGCCTTCTTATCCGTACAGTCGTTTTATGGACACTTGCCTCGTGGAGCGGCTCGCTCGTAAACTCGCGGCTAGAAAAAAGATGTTACACGTTTAGCATCAGTCAAAGCACATGGTAATCGATGGAGTGGCTTGTTAGCGGTTATCAGTCGGCGATAATTCCTAACGAATAGCGGTAATAATGCCGAAATAACGTGTCCTGTTCGTCGACTTAATGCGACCCAGCTGTATGTCGTTTTCCCTCGATAATGCCGAAAATCGAACATCTGTACGCTCGGCAAGAGGGAGGGAGGGAGAGGGAGAAAAAGAGGAGAATTTCTGGCGTTTGGATTCGGTTTGCCTCGGCTAGGAATCATGGCGAACACGGAGACCGGGGATTATCGTTTTATTTGTTCGCATTGGTTGCGTCACGACTAAATTTATCATCGTTTGGGCGGACGAGCGTGGAAAAATATATTTCACTCGTAGAGAACGCTTTATCTCGGGTTATGCGACGCCGAATAAAATTGAATGATGTTCGACATCTTGACCAATTAATACTGCTTATTATTTCCGCGATGACATTCGTGCGGCAATGAACTTGTGACTGTGACTTGCTGCAATCTTGTGATACATTATCGACCGGAGACTGGCGTAGTTCCTTGCATCGGTATGATTCAATTTTCTGCAATATTTCCATACTTTTCGCCTTTGTCACCACTTATTTCCAGTCTCTGACGAGGGCAGTCTTTCTACGAGGTTCACATCGCAGATCCAAAGAAAAATGGAGGCGATGTGTTTGAAAAAGTTGGATCAAGCTTGGAACAAATTTCCAAGAGTGCGTGTACTAATTATTATTGGCATATTAGTCGCGTAATCAAATCAGACCCCATCAAATCTGGTAGCAAAGCGTGTTTCTTTAATTGTCATCGCAATACACGTTTTATAATTATTTCACCTTCCACCCACTTACACGAAAATTTGTTAATAGATAAACAGATTGTCAGTCGAGTAGTGTACGAATCAATCTGCTTCCAATCTTCGAGATAACACGGGGTGACTCAGTTTTCTGCAATATTTTCATACTTTTCGCCTTTGTGACTACTCATTCCAAGTCTTTGATACTTTCTACGAGGTTCGCATAGGAAATCCAATGACAAATGGAGGCTATATGTTTGAAAAAGTTGGATCATGCATTGAGCAAATTTCCAAGAGTGCTTATACTATTTATTATTGGCATATTAGTCGCGTAATCAAATCTGGTAGCAAAGCGTGGTCCTTTAATTGTCATAAAAATACGCGATTCATCATTATTATTTATAAACGCGTGAACGCAAAGACAGATCGTCAGTAGAGGAGTGTATCCGCTGCCAATCTTGGAGATAACGCGTTTCTTTGAATACAAGGACGCAGAAGCAGTGGAAAGCAATAAAGTTATATCAAAGTTGGTTCTCGTGGACGAAAAAAGCGACCAGCTGTGCCAGCTGCGATGCGATCTTTCCTCTGATTCAATCTGGTCTCGTCTCGAAAGAGTATGAAGGGAAGAAAGAAGTGGAAGAAGCAAGGGCACGTGGGGCGCGGAGGATGTTAGAGGGGTTGGCGGGGGTGTATTGATCTGTAGGTCGCGTGAGAACAGCGCCACATACCGGGCCGCAGCCGCAACTAATGTCTTCATCCTTTTCAACCACCTTTTCAACCCCTTTCGCCTCTTTCCGTGTTTCTTTCTCCCCTGGCCGCGCGGCGAAATTCACGCCGGCTTTAAATCGTGCTTTACGCCGCGAGCGTTCACGCGAGCAAAGGGTTGAAACTCGCCATGAATCAAGACACCCCAGGGGGTCGTTGGTTCCTCTGCGCGGGCTGCCCTCCTTCGTGTAATTTCGATATTTAACCGTTGTGACCGCTCCAAGCTTGGACGTGCTTTTAATTACTCGAGATAAAGCGGATAAGCCGGTGGCAGTCGACGTAGCGAAACGGTGCGTTTGTTTCGCCATTGATCGCTCGGGGTTTCAGTGGGAAACGCGAGAAAAATGTGAAACTTCAATTTCCTCCAAGCTTTCTCTCGAATTTTATCCCAAAATTTGGAAAATTCCTCAAGGTCCGGGAATATTATACTTTCCAAATAAATATACAATATTTAACTCGGAAACTCGTCGAAACTCGAGGATTTCCATCGCGAATCTCTTTGGGTATCGATTAAAGGATTCGACTGGTTCGCTTTCAGGTATGGTTCCAGAACAGAAGGGCAAAATGGAGGAAGAAGGAGCACACGAAGAAGGGTCCAGGGAGGCCGGCGCACAACGCTCATCCGCAAAGTTGTAGCGGCGAACCCATCCCACCTGAGGAGCTGAGAAGAAAGGAGAGGGAGAGGCGGCAGAAGAAATTGCTGAAAGCTCTTGAACGACAGCAGAGGAAATTAGCTGCGAAGGTAACTGCTAGGCTTAATACAATCTACTTTATTCGGTACGAGATTCTCGGAACGCAACAAAGATGCAGGAAGCAATTGATCGTAGTCCAAGGGACTGGTACTTACCCGCGATTAATTTCTCATGTCCGATTAAAGCTCCCGGCGATCTGTACGCTTCTAAAACTATCACGATCCGTGTTTCTCTTGAAATAAAATAAAACGTAGGATATTTCAATCTTCGAGACATTTCAAAAATCGCATAATCATCTCGAACCCGTTGCACGACTTTTCTCGTCGATTTCAAATTGATCCATCGACGTCGCGTAATTCCCACGTATAGCCTAAACTCGCCGCAACGGAGAGGAACCTGAAAACAGAAGAACGCGATATTTTCGTTGCAGGGAATCACCGTGGATCTGTCGACGCTGCGTGCCGAGTGGGAATCTCGAAGCGCCGCAGCATCCGGCGGGAACTCCCTGAACGGCAGCCTGGGAAGCTCGTTCAACCACTTGAGCAACAACAACGAGAGCAGCAGCGTGTCAGGCTCCGGGAACGACGCGAACGAGGAGATCGACGTGGTGGGTGGTTTGGATTCTTGCAGCGAGAGCGGCAGCGAGAGGGTGGACTCTGCTGCGGATGGCTCTGTGGACGGGGAGTGTTATCCTAGGCTAGGCAGCAGCAGCAGCGAGCAGAACGATCCTCGGAGATCGGTGAACCAGGTTGCAGGGAGCCTGCAGAGTCCTAACTCGAGCCTGAGTCTCGACCACTTGAGCCATCAGCAAGGAATCCATCACTGGGGCCTGAGTCTGCTGGAGAGAAGAAGGGAGCTGGTAAATATGAACAGCGCAGGTGGACCGCGTCAGACGACGAACAACGGCAGCAATTCCGGGAGAACATCTGTCAGACAACAGACCAGCGAGGAAGAGGTGCAGAGCAGTAGCATAGACCTGTCCGTTAAAGGGAGAGAGGAAAGGAAGAGGCTGAATCCCTTCTCTATCGATAGTCTGTTGGGCAACAACAGAACCAGCACTCCCGGGATCCACAACGAATACAGAGCCTCGACACCGACCCTGTCGAACGGAAGGGAGTCCAGCAGCCCCACGTCGCCCATCTCCGTACCCACTTCGCCGTCCACCACGTAGTGAGCCAGGAAGTCGAGTTCCTTCGGTCTCGGTCGAGGTCGTCCGGTGACAAACCACGCGAGTTTCGGTGTTAGACAACGAAGCGATGGGCCAGTTTCGCGGGAACATTATCGAGAACAACGAGAGAGAAAGTGGAGAATAGGAGAATACAGTTTAGGGTAGAATCGTATTATGTTCGAGGTGGAACGAGGGTTCCTCGTGGCTCCTGTGACTGATCGGTGAGCCTGGATCTTGCGTTTCTTGGAGGACAAGGTTTCGCGATCGATCCACGAAGGATCGGGCTGTCTTAGCGTTTAATGGCTGTAGAAGAAGGGATCTTTAACGAAGGATGACGAACGGTGATTCGATCCCCGAGTTGCAGACTCCAGAGAGTTTCTGCTATCGAATCGTGACTATTTGCGACGATCAAATGCGGCTCGAACTAGCCGATGATGATGATGATGATGAGAGAGAGAGAGAGAGAGAGAGAGAGAGAGGCGACGAGTCTTTTTGACTGAATAAAGGAAAGCTTATATCAGTTTCGACATATCTGCATCGAGTGCGTGAGTGACGTTGAGTCTGTCCAGCGTGTTCGACTTTCTTCTTTGTCCTGCGTGTTCGAGTGTGGAGTATCGAGACGAGAATGTGCAATAAAACTCGGATGATCTTCTTTCCCGGCCTGGAGCATTCCGTTCCTGGGGCTAAGTCGAAGGAGGATGAGAGATAGCGAGGATGCGTGTGAGCGAGAGAGCGACAGACTGCGCGTGTATTTAATGTAAATAGCCCGAAGTATGGACGATTTCGTTTTATTTAATTGATCGTAGCCGATACCCCAGTGTTCGTCGAGTCGCGGATATTATTTAAAGCAATAGAAATTTCGCCTGGCACGCGTGTATATAACATAGAGATTAAACGAAAGTTTTAGAGCAGTGCGTGGAGGATGCTGAGAATAAAGACGCGGTACAAAGCTGAATTACGGGATATATCTCCTCTTTTTTTGTGTCATACGAGCGTGCATTTTACGAAAGAGAGAGAGAGAAAGAGAGAGAAAGAGAGAGAAAGAGAGAGAAAGATAAGTAGAAAGAGAGAAAGAGAGAGAGAGAGATATCGAAGATCGATAAAGGAAGCGAAGAGGAGATTGGTAAAGAGAGAGAGGAGATGTTACGAGATGCCATAAAATCTGGGATGCGAGACAGTATCTACCGTATATTCATTTCAAATATATTAATTTATTCTCAACACTACATAGTGTCATGTGATGAATCTGCTCCATCGTCCGATCCTCCTCTTTCCATTTCTGTGTCAGCTGCATCTCCGTTTCCGTGAAAGGTAAGTGTGCATGGCTTTTCCCTTCATCCAATAAATACAAAAAGATAAAGTAAGGAATAACAGGAATCAGTTCAACATTTAGAAAGTACATTCTAGATCTATGATTATCTTTTAATTAGAAATTAATTTTCTGTATTACCTTCTATTAACCACGCGACCAAAGTACTCTGCGACTGATCCTTTGTTATTCCTCTGTTCGTCGACTATTCCTTTAGAATAATACAAAAACGCTTCCTCGACTCGTTCGTCCAATGGAAACGCGCGTGTTTACAAAATTTCTACTCTTCCGCAAAATCAGTAGCCCCGTGTCGTGGCCTTGCGTTTCCCAAACAAAGGCTACACGCGACGCACCTTCGGAACGAACGCTGAGGTATTATTCCTGGAATTTCGGTAACGAGTCAACGAAGCGTAAAATTCCTCGAAGCCTGACGATCCAAACAACAGCCGAGGTCTATCGCCTTGACGAATCGAGTCGATGACCTTCTCTCCCTTTAGTCGTACGGTAGCCAGCGTCGTGGTCGTGTCGCGTTCGGTGCTCGAGCCGTGAAATAAAATTTACGCCTAGCACGTTCGCGATTAGAAAGTGATGCTCGCTGCTAATTAAAGAGTTGGCACGTTGATTAATCGGCGCGGATAATTGATAACGCGATTCTCGTCCGAGGGTGGATAATAGAGCGCGGGTCGCGATAATTAAGGGGCTAATTGACGCGTCTTTTACTCGAGTTATCGTCACGTTGTTCTAACAGCAGAGGACGTTATTTTAGACTCATCTTGTTCGCCGATCCTTCGTGTTAATGAGCGTGCTCGAAGTTTTACTGCTAACAACCGTAATCGAGAAACACACGTAGGAGAACGGTACTGCGGACATCAATGGCGTCGGAGTCGAGGGTTGAAGAGGGCGCTGCAGCTGGCCAGAGAAAATGGCGAACGTGCGATAGAACGACTGACTGGTAAGTCTTTGCTTGAAAGAATCGTTTATTTTTCATGAAAAGAAATACTTCGATGTAGTACACAGACGAATTTTAATTCCGATTTTCAATTTATTTTAATTTATTTATTTGTTTGGATATCGAGGTTAAGATTAACGTGTCGGGGTGATTATTTTAAAAAATAAGATTGATCAGGTAAATTTTGTATTGTTACATGATGGAATAGACAATCTCGAAGTCTTTCTTTCCATTGACAAGTCTTTTCTTGAGAGAATCGTTTATTTTTCGCAAAAAGAAATTCTTCGATGTAGTATACAAACGAATTTTAATTCGGATTTTTAATTTATTTCGATATCGAGATTAAGATTAACATAGCGTGATTATTTTAGAAAGCAAAATTGATCGGGTAAATTTTGTATTGTTATATAGTGGAATAGACACTCTCGAAGTCTTTCTTTTCATCAGCAATTATGTCACCTGTTTTTATTTACGACACTAATTTAATCTAATTTGCGTCTTCGTGTATGTCGCTTAATAATCTAATTTGCGAGTTTGATTTAGACTTTTGATTATTTTTCTTGACAGAAATAATCTTTTCATTCTGCCATACTACATGGTGGAGACTTCAAATAACACAAAGGTTTGCAGGAGTATAACGATTTATGCGAGAAAAAGATGCTATTCGAGCACACTATTCCAATATAGCTCGCGTAAAATTAAAAATTTTCCTTATTTTCTGATTATGTTTCGTCCACAACGAAGGATAATCTGACTTAGAAAGATAAATGCAAAGAATTCGAAGAACAAAGACACTGAATAGAAATATACTTCTCGCGGAAGAGTATATGCTCGAAATATATACTCATACACGTGTATATACTCATCAACGTAATTCGTTCTGCAGCTTTTCCATTCGTAAACATTGGGAATACTGGAAATTTTAATTAAAATAAGAAAACTCGACGAGGTTAACCAGCACGATTAAATCGATGGAGCAAAATTGATAAAGCAAACCACCCAGTGGACCCAGCCCATGCATTTATAAAATTGACTGCATTCCGAAATTTATGAAATCGCGCTGTTTATCATATCGTGAACGAGTTGCTATAACGCGGAATACCATATGTAGGATTATATTTAATTACGTTTAAAGATTCATCAGCCCGAAAGCAAGATATTGTTTATTAAACGAAACGGCGGAAATTAATTGGAATGAAACCGAATGAATCCTGATAACTTAATTAGCATAACTTTAGCCGACCGGTTAGCGCACGAATTGCGCAATTTTCGCGTGTTTCACCGGCCGCGAGGGGAGGGGGAATGAAGAGTAATGAAAAGTCGCGAAAGTCGAATAAAAATGATTTCTAATTGAATTAAACCACGCGACGTCTCGTGTCTCGAGCACTCTGTACGTCTTCGAATTGCAGCAATTGCGACTTTCGCGATCCCGTTTTTCGCAGCTTCGCGTCGCTTGGTCATATTTTAACGGGCACCGATAATTCGCAATCGCGAGTCGCGAATATTTTTCGGAGGCTGTAACGAAACTCGCGGAATACGCGGTTTTCAAGCGTGATAAAACGCGGCTGAACTAAAAGAGACATTCGCAGCGTTTATAAATTCGCCGGAATAGGAAGAATAATGGAGCCATAGGCGTCCTCGTAAAACAAATACCGGGGTCGCGTATGAATTCGCGTATGAATATGCATAGAAAATGATATATCAGCTTTCCGTAGTCGTACATCAAATTTACATACAAAGCGCGATCTGTTAATTTTATATATGGCACTTTACTTTAGATTACTTCCCTGCAATTTTTCCTCCCTCCTTCGTTCCTCCTTTTTTCCTTTTTTTTTTTAAGCGTATTTTTTTACCTTTTTCCTTTATTTTTAAATATTTTCCGCGCTTTTTTGTTCATTTTCCTTTTTCCCCGCGCTTTTTTTCCCTCCCTGTATCATTTCATAGCGGATTTTCGTTGATTTTCGTTTCCGCGGACGGGATTCGCGTGAAAATTTCAGGCTAACCGCGATGCAATTATTATTCACGAGAAAAACGGATATTTATTTAAAGCTTTCGGCCGCCGGTGTCGATTATAACGGGTGCGGATTTTTTTAATAAATATTTATGAATTTAACTCGCAACTTCCGATTGAAGCAATCGCGAATATTCTCGTTACCGAGTTCGTTCAACGTGCTGGCGAATGAAATTGATAATGCCTGGAAAAATTGGATACGTTGGCGTATATAAAATGTATAAAAATTAGCGAATTTTGAGTTTCGGGGATTTAAATTGGAAATTGGCCCGGCGCAGAAAAATATTTCGCGACGAAATTACGCGATGTTTCATTTTTGTTATAAAATTCGTCGGACGCGTGGTAAATTCGTCGATAGGCAAAGAGATTACTAGAGACGGGTAATGGTGATCGCATGACTGGGTAATTAGAAGGAATTTGATTTGCCGTGGTTCGATTTTCATTCGGATTTCACGTTCCACAGGAAGCTACATTTTATATCTTATCAATGCTCGTGCAACGAATGTTTTATTAATTATTTCGTATTCAGTGAGCAGGGACGAGTAAATCTCTTGTTCCGAAGTTCTTTGAAAGTCTGGCATGATTAAAAACACTCGTCTGCTCTATTAACCATATTCAACCATTCTTTCATTAACCTTTCCATAGCCCGTGAACAATAATAATCTCGCGCTTTACTGGAAACTCGCATTATTACATGAACAGAACGCGTTCAACAGTTTCTCTAATTATTTTATAGCCTGTAGACAGAAATAAGAATGTT